TTGAAACATAAATAACAGACAGTGGGCAAAATGGAGTTTCCTGGAACTTTGGGGAAATGGGGCAGGGGCTGTCAGCAGCACCCTGGCCTTCTCTCTGAAGTGTTCACAGAGCTGGCGGGCCCCTGGGAGGCCAGCCCCATGCACTCCCCTACCCCCAACTGTCTTCCGTGCCAGCCAGCATGCTGCTCACCCAGGGCTGTGGCCCCAGCCCCATTTCAGAGAGTGTGGGAAATGGGGGGCAGTGCAGGAGGAAATAGGCCCCTGGGGCTCGGGGACGCAGTGCAGGGACCTGCAGGGGACACCTTGAGGGTCCGGGGGTGCACCCACCCCTCCTGGCAGAATTCATCCAGGCAAGGCTGTTCCCAGAAGTGCCCAGTCTCGGGTCATAAGGACTCAGCTCTGAGCCATCTGGAGCCCCGGGAAAGGGGATGGGAGACTGGCACCCCCATTGCCCCCTGAGGAGCGGAGCTTCGGGGTGCTGGGGTCTTGGGAGGCTGCAGCTCCTCCGCTCCTGGGGACACCCCTTCCAGGAACTGACCCCTGGAAACAAGGGGTGGGAGAGGGTGGCCCCTCCCTACAGCATCGTGGCCCTGCCGGGGAATGTGCTGGAACTCCTGACCCCAGGTGATCCACCTGCCTCGGCCTCCCAAAGTGCTGGGATTACAGGTGTGATTATAGGGGGCAGGGATCCTGGGCACGTGGGCGAGCAGCCACCCAGCATGTGCTCCTGGCCCCTGGACACCCACATCACACCCCCGGTGGTCCCGACTGGCCAGAGTTGTTGTGAGCTGGTCCCACCCACTCACAGCACCTGCCAGAATCTTAGCTGCCCCTGGACGTGTTTGGAGCAGTCCTGGGCCTGGCTGAGTACTGGAGGGGCTGCTGCCCACAGGCAGGCTTCCTTAAGGCAGCAGCTGAGCTCATGGGAGGAGCCAGCAGCTCTTGCCACTGGCATACAGGGGCAGCTGGTGCCGCTCTGGGGTCCATGGGGGGAGAGGGTGGGGTGGGATGGAGGGATGGCTGTGTGGGTGGCCAGAGGACACACAGAGGACATGCTTGTGGGGCATGCAGGGATGCGTGGGGTATGCAGGACATGTGGGGTGTGCAGGGGCGTGTGGGGGCACATGGGGTGTCTGGGGGGCACAGAGTATGTGTGGGCATATGTGGGTGTGTGGGGGGTGCAGGGTTGGATGGGGAAAGGGTGAGGGCTGGGGACAGGGTGAAGTGATCTCTGGGATACTGGACAGAGAGATGAGTCAGAAGAAAAAGTGATGAGAGAGAACCAGTCACTGGGGGGCCAGGTGGGGCAGGCACGAATATGGCTAGGACAGACGGGGCTGGGATGGATGGGGCTGGGACGGATGGGGCTGGGATGGATGGGGGATGCGATGGATGGGGCTGGGATGGATGGGGGATGGGATGGATGGGGTTGGGATGGATGGGGCTGGGATGGATGGGGCTGGGATGGATGGTGATGGGATGGATGGGGGATGGGATGGATGGGTTTGGGATGGATGGGGCTGGGATGGATGGGGGATGGGATGGATGGGTTTGGGATGGATGGGGCTGGGATGGATGGGGCTGGGATGGATGGGGCTGGGATGGATGGGGGATGGGATGGATGGGTTTGGGATGGATGGGGCTGGGATGGATGGGGGATGGGATGGATGGGTTTGGGATGGATGGGGCTGGGATGGATGGGGGATGGGATGGATGGGTTTGGGATGGATGGGGCTGGGATGGATGGGGATGGGATGGATGGGGTTGGGATGGATGGGGCTGGGATGGATGGGGGATGGGATGGATGGGGTTGGGATGGATGGGGTTGGGATGGATGGGGGATGAGATGGATGAGGGTGGATCTGGGTCAGGCTTTGCTGTCAGCTGGAGGAACTATTTGGAAATACAGGCAAACAGGAGACCTTTAGGCCCATCTTGATCCCTGTGGCTGTGTGGTTTGGGTGGGCTCTCCTGTAAGCCCCCGTCACTGAACATCTTGGGTCTCTGTGGCCTGTCCCCACCTGGCTGGGTCTCATGGGCCCTCCTGGGAGGCTGGCCCCTCCTCACCCCTGCCCAGGTCCTAGGGTGGCCCTGGCAGGCAGAGGGGCTTGGGGGTGTCCAGCCACCCCCTCCCAACACCCACTCTTCAAGCACGGTGGGAGACGCTGGTCTCTGCCTCCGTCAGGTCAGAGGACAGGCTGGAAGGAGCCCTGCAGGTGCACGGCCAGAGCACAGAGCCGGGCTGTGTGGGAGACTTCCTCTCAGCGGAAGACATCCTGGGTCCAAGGCTGGCAGGGACCAGAAGCAGTGAGAGGAGTGGTGGGAGAGGCTGAGGGTCGTGCATCTTGGGCCTCTTTCAAAGGCGAGGGCCCAGAGGCCACGTCGGTTCCTGCAGCCCGTCAGACGGGCCATCCTGCAGGTGGGCCTTGGGGCTGGGAGCCCCTCACCGCACAGCCGCCCTGTCCGGTTTGTGGCTCGGGACGGGAGAGGTAGCTGCTGTTTGTTTTGGGTTTGGGAAAGAAACTCTGAAGAGTGTTTGGCTTGCCGTGGTCCTCTCTTGGCAGTGGCTGGCAGGGAGGACAGCCTGGGACCGCACCTCTGGCCAGCAGTCTGTGAGTTTGTGGAGGTGGCAGCCAGGCAGGGGGCAGAGATGGGGCGGCTCTCCCCAGTCCCGGTGTGGTCCTTGCCCTGACCCTCTGTCCAGACCCCGCACTCCCTGTTGGGAGAGAGGCAGTTGCCGGCAGATGCAAACTGAAGGCTGGAACCATGGGCACAGGTGTTCACGGCCACCAGGGGAGCACCTCTAATGCAGAAACGCTGCCATCCCCAACCTCTCCAAAGCTATGGATTCCATTTGGTTTGTTGTGAAGTCTTGGCCACTAGGGCCTGGGCTCATGAGCTACAGAAAGACCGGCTCCTGAAGCATCGCAGGGGCCCCGGAGCCTCCCGGGCCAGGAGCCGCCTCGCTTCCCGTGACCCGGCCAACGCCCACCCAGGGTTCCCTGACACGGCGCACCCAAGACATGCCCCTCTTGTCTCTGGCCTCAGTTTCCCAATCCCTCACTGCCATTCTGATTCTGTGTGGCCCTCAGCCGAAGGGCCACATCTGCTTGGCCTGCGGTCAGGTCTTCACACCAGGTTTCGGCACTCATGGCGGGGGTGGGGTGCACAGTGGGGCTTACTCAGGCAGATGCATTCACCATGGGCTCCAGGACCGACCCGTTCCCCAGAGCTAGGGTGGGAAGGCCTGTCTCACCCTCAGCCTTGTGGTCTGGCCCCTGGAGGCCACTGGCCTGATGCACCCAGCTGGTGAGCACACCACTGTCCCTGGTACACCTGTGTTCCCAAAGAAGGACCCAGGGAGGGGAGGGAAAAAGAGGCGGCTTTCACCCACAAGGCAACCTGCTATCTCCTCCACAGCCTGCCCCAGGGACCTGAGTCATCATGGAAGCTGCCGGTGGGTCCCCATGACCGGGTTTCGGCACCCCACAAAGACGACCCGTTTACCCACACGGCCTTAGACCACACAACCTTAGAGGGCCTGACTCAGTTTACCCCCAGCACAGAGCCTATTTCCTGTCTCCTGGAGCCTCTGACAACCACGGCCAACTGCCCTGCTCACCAGTGCAGGGGAGAGACGAGGAGAGTCCCAGGACACTCACCTCCGAGGGAGGTAGGTCCCTTTTGTGGGCTTGGGCGTCTGATGCCGCTGCTGAGTGAGTTCGGCGCTGGAGAGTGGCAGCCAGGGAGGGAGAAGAGGCTGCTGCTCTTCCACCACTTCCCCGAGAGCCCAAATCCCAGCCCAGTCCTTGCTTCTGTGACACCCCGCAAAGCAGACCTCTGGGAGCTTGATGGGACTGTCACTGCGGTCTGGAGGTGGCGCCGGGGCCGGGGCACTGTCTGGAGGACAGAATCCACCTATCTCTACTTTCAGAATGAGGTTTCTGTTGTCAGGCTTGGTTCCAGACATCACCTGGCTGGTGGTGACCTGACGGGATCCTTCCTTATGATGCTCAAGGAAAGAATCTTTACAACCCTTCGAGACCCACCAGCCGACAAACCACCCCTCCCCACGGGGCCACAGTTCAGATTTCTTTGAAAATCTATTTCCTACACCTTGCAAATCCCCACAGTTTCTCTTTATTAGGCAAACATATCTTCTTTATTATCATCATGAATATCATTTGGACCTCTGCAAAGACTATATACATTCACATTAACGTACGCCCTCGGCTTCGGGCCTCTCTCGGGCCATTCATGCTCCGTTCAGTAGCTGGGTCACTCCCGTATTGCACTGAGTTCTGCTGAGAGCTGCGCGCAGAGATGCCAGGCCGCGGGCCGCGCCTGCTGTCTGTCCTTGTACTCGGTGCAAGTGTGAATTTCCTTATCCCTTTGTTTCCTCCTTGAAATCACTGAGGGAATTGAGGAGAGGTAGGAGGGTAGGCAGGGCTGGCGCGTCGGAGGGAGGAAGTTCGACAGAAACATCACCGAGACGCATCCCAGGGCCGAGGCGAACGCATCTGAGGGCGGCTGGCGGGAGCACCAGGGCTGTGTCACAGTCAGGGTCTTCCCCGGGAGGAGGCGGAGGGCTGCTTTTGTTTGTAGTTTTTTTGTTGTTTTTCTGCAAAAGTTTGGAAGAAAGAGGAGTATCTGCAGAGAGACATGGGTTCGGGCGATAGGGCCGGGAGACGGCGGAGGCGTGGGGAGGAAGGTAGAGGAGGAAGAGGCTGTCCGAGGAGAGGCGACTTCGGGGGCCCTGCTGTCTCCGCACGCCAGAAAAGCAGTCAACAACCCAAAGACTGTCTCAGTTTTGTTTCGGAATTATGCTCTCTCTGGGAAGAAAATATTAGCACTTTTTTTTCACAAGTGGAAAAAGGAAATATGAAAAGTCACAGGGGGCATGAGGACAAACGCAGTGTCCTTCCCGACATGCCCGGAGACACAGGCCGCGGCACCCACACACAGATCGCACCCGTGGCAGACACACCGGTGCCTGCGCGGAAGGAAACAGATGTCGCTTCTCACTGGGCGCAAACCCTCCACGTCCCAATACCCCGACACCCCACAAACAAAACTGAAACAGAAAAGACCCACGTCCAAACAAACCCAAGAGCAAGGAATACGGTGGGAGAAATACTTTGGCAGTAACAAACAGATTTTGGATTTTGATGTCTTGTGTTTGCGTTTTTGGATTTCCTTTGGAGCAGAGGTGTGTCCGGTATCCTTGGCTGGCTAGCTAGCAAGGTAGTTCACAAGTATGCTTCCTTTGCTTTTATAAAAAACTTTTTGGATTTTTACTTAAAGCCAAAGAGTTTAACATTATAGGAAAAAAAAAAAATCTGAAACCAATAATGCTTCTTGAGTCAGAAACTGAAATCTTTCCTTCCGTCTTCCAGAATCTGCCTCAGGCCCCTGGGGGAGGGGCCCACCTGGCGCGCAGATCTCCAGCTATAAAATCACAGCTTTCTTTCTCCCTTTTCCATCAGGAGAGGGAGAACCCCCACAGTTTTCTTTGTCCATTTCTGAGTAGCTCTTTTGCCAACAAACAAAACCCCCCCAAATTCTTTGCTGAAAGTGTAAGCCACCAATTAGAATTTGTCATTGAAGACGAAGTGTGTGATAGTCACAGAGACAGAGGGGAGAGGAGAGAGAAGACGGGCTGGGGGGAGAGAAAGAGATGGGCAGGCAGAGCCAACACTCCAGCGGCATCGTTCTGCCATCTAAAGCTCAGTGGAGGCTTCTGCAGACGCCTGAGGAGAGAGGCCGCCAGGAGGTCTGTGCGCGGAATCATCAGGCAGCTGAGGCAGGTGCACTGGGTGCGGTTCTGTTGGTTCCGGGTCTTCTTTTGGAGAGGGGCAGTAGCAGCACTGACTCTAATTGGTCGGCTCCCTGGGGCTGGGCAGGGCGCAGCGTCTGGCGGGCCGGGCATTGGGCATCCGGAGGGCCCAGAGCTGGGTGGGGTCGGCAGGGTACTGTGTCCAGCAGGTCGGGGGCCAGTCGGGTCAGCGGGGCACGGCGTCCAGAGGGCCAGGTAGGCTGGGAGAGCCGGGGCGAGAAGGCCCCGCAGAGCCGGCTTCGCTGGGGCTGGCAGCACCCATGGGCAGGGAGGGGCCCAGGCCGTTGGCGGTGTCGGGTGGTCCGGGCACCGGGTCAGCCACCACGGCCACAGGGCCCTGCAAGCTCTGGCCGCACACGTGGTGGTGCTTCTCCCAGTCCCGATGCTGGCAGAAGGACCCGCAGTAGCGTGCCGCGTTGCAGCCGCTGCATGTCTCGCTGGCCTTCCGCCCACAGTTCCAGCAGCTCTGCGTGGGGGCAGAGGGGCCCGTCAGGGCTGGGTCAGGTCACGTGAATCCCCGGCTTGGGGAACCAAGCCACTCAGACCCAGCCGTGTCTCACTAGGTAAGAAGAGAGGAGCTCCGAAGCCCACAGCCCTCGGCCGCTCCCCAGACACAGCCACTCACCAGGCCATCTGGGGGACAGTGTCAACTCACGCTCCAGCCCACCCAGACAGGTGTGCTCTGTGCTGACTGGGCCACGGCCCCTGCCTCATATCCAGGAAGCCCTCCTGAGCTCACCAGGAAACTGCCCCACAGAACTGAGGCTACTGAGACCTCACTGTCCACCTCTGCTGCACACCGCCAGCGCCCCAACCCCTGCTGCGTGACCCCCTCTGACCCTCCGCCACTGCAGCACCCACCCCTGCCTCTGCCCCCGCCTGTCTGCCTCCACCTCTGCCGCACTCCTGCCTCTGCCCCCACTCACCATCTCTGCTGCTCACCCCCCTCTGACACCCCCACCCTGTGGTGGGCTCTGCTCCCTTCCTGTAGGGTGAGCCGCGCCCCAGGCATGGCTGTGCGCACAGGGGGTCAGGGATGTCACATGAGGCCTGAACATGTTTCTTCCTGGGGCCCAGACGGTTGGGCTGTGGGACAGGAAGCCCAAACCTGTCCCAGGGGAGAAGCCCAGGTCCCTGTTTGGCCTCCAAAACCTCTGGTAGCACCTCCCACACCACCTTGCCCGCACCGCACTGCTACAGCTGCGAAGCTTCCCTGCAGACCCCGCACCTCCCTCTGCTACGCCTGCTGCCCTGATGCCCACATGGCCAGCTTCATCCTCTGCCCCGATGCCTGTCACGCCAGCTTCATTCCTCCCAGCCTCTGCTCAGGGGTCACCGGCCATGACCTCCACAACCCGCTCCCCACACCCCCCCTCCTGAAATTGCACGCCTCGCTTCTGCGTGTGCTGTTTTTCTCTCTGTGCCCACTCAAGTGCCAGCTCTGTGAGAGTTTTGCCTGTTCTGTTCTAGCTTCTTCCCAGCTGAGAGCATGTGTGGAAAGGGCTGGTGCAGAGATGCTTGGATTGATGTGCCCCATGTCCTCGCACCGCACGGCTGGCCCAGGCACAGACGCACACAGGGGCTTCGCACAGAGAACAGCTGTCTCAAGGGATACTCCTGGGGCTCCCGTGGAAAGGGTCCCTCGCTCTCCCCTCTTCCTGGACTAGGCGGAAAAGAGTCACAGAGGGTCCTCTGCTCCTGCCTCCCGATAGATGCACAGGCACAAGCAGGGTGACTCTCAGGCCTGCCGTGGGCACTGGGAGGAAGCTGGGTGCCTCGGAGGCCACGTGGGGCCCTTACAGCTCTCCTGGATCTTGCTGCTGTCACAGGAGTTTCAGGCCAGGCACGGTGGCCTTCGCCTGCCATCCTAGCACTTTGGAAGGCTGAGGCAGGTGGGTCACCTGAGGTCAGGAGTTTGAGACCAGCCTGGCCAACATGGCAAAACCTTATTTCTACTGAAAATACAAGAATTAGCCAGGTGTGGTCGTGGGTGCTTATAGTTCCAGCTACTTGGGAGGCTGAGGCAGGAGAATCACTTGAACCCCAGAGGCGGAGGTTGTGAGCCGAGATCATGCCACTGCACTCCAGCCTTGGCGACAGAGGAGGGCTCCGTCTCAGCATCAGTCAACCTGGGCTCAATCCTGGCCCCACCACGTCCCAAGGTCGTGACCTCAGACAAAACGGAACCCTCCTGAGCCCTCAGTTCCTGCATCTATAGAAGGGTGACACCCACAGGACGCCTCACCAGGCCATGTGGGGTCTCTGTGCTGATGAACACCGTGGGGGAAGGGATGGTGGGCGTGCTGATGCCACAGAGGCTCAGAATGCTCACGCGGGTGGCACGGGGCGCACAGGAGCCGAGACAGGGGCGGGTGCCAGCGTGGCCAGATGGCCCTACCTCGCTGGAGTCCTCCTGCTGGTTGACCACCGTCAGCGCGTCCTCGGAGGCCTGCCGCTTGGCCTCGGCCAGGGCCCGCTCCATCTTGGCGCGCTCCGTGGTGATGAGCTCGTGCGCTTTGCGCTCTGCGTCCGACACGGCTTTCTGCAGCTCTGACATCGCCTGGCGCTTCACCTCATTCACCGCCTCTTCTGCAAGGAGCATGGGCAGGGATGGCGGTCACACGGGCCATCCCAGATGAGTGTCTGGGCTTCCTACGCCCACAGCCTGGGGGCGGTGATCTGAGATCACCGTGTGCAGCTGGACACACGCCTGTGCAAGCTGGGTCCCCTGGCCAGCACACTGGAGGCTTTTCTAAGCTCATGCTCTACTGCAGCGGCTCCCCAGCCACTGCACCCCTGCAGGGCCACGGCCAGGCCCACCCCAGAGTCTGGCATAGCTGTGGGCGTGCTTGGAACCTGCATTCCTCACAAGAGCTGGGTGAGCGGCTGCTGCTGCTGCTCCAGGAGCCGCACCCAAAACACTGCCTTCACCTCCGGCCCCACCCAGCAGCAGCAAGGAAGTCCCTCGTCCAGGGCTCTGTGCTGTCACCCCAGAGCCTGCTCTGTTTTCCTCACCACACCTGCCATCCTTTACCCTGGCTGGCTTCAGAAGACCACGCTCCCTGACCTCGTTGTTTGATCCTGATCTGTGCTAAGGCGGGGCACCGCCGCCCAGCTGGGGAGGCTGGGTTTCAACTCCACCACTGAAAGAAACCCCCGGGCCAGCTGGAGACCTCGGTACCGCTGACCAGCCCTGCCCATGCCCAGTGTCCACTCTGCACTGTGCCCTCCAATGTCATGAATGATACCCCCTCCCTCTCCCAGGAATCTTGCTAAATGGCCCCCAAGGCCTCCCAGGCCTACCTCAGTTTACCCAGATTGCTGTTCCTACAGCAGGGTGAGGGACTCGACTAGGAAGTGGCCGCAGAGGCAGGAGTGGGACTAGCGGGGCCCCGCTGAAGGGGTCAAGACAGCTCCATGAGCCTCCCCATCCTGGTGTTTGGACACTGGGCTTTGTGGAGCTGCTGGCAGGGCCGGCTGGGGCCCCCTGACTGGGCAGTGGCCAACAGACCCTGGCCTGAGATCACTGCCCAGACGTCAGCAGATGCCCTACAAGGCTCCGCCATGGGGTTGGACGGAGTTGGGGCAGGCCAGGCAAGTGAGGACCCCTTCCTGCCATCCAGGCTGGGGGTTGAGACCTGTCCTCACCCACCAGCCTTGCTCCTGGTAACCCTGGAGTCTGCAACCTTACCCCCAACTCCAGGCTGGGACCCTCCACTCCCTCTACGCCAAGATTCTTCTCCCCCATCCTCAACCCACACAATGAGCCCAGCTGAAGGCCAAAACCCACCTGGGCCCCACCTCCTCTCCCCACTACTGGCCTCCTCTGGCTGTCCACAGATCTGGCTCCACCAGGCCCTCCCCCACCCAGCCCTGCCCAGCGCTCAGCTCCGCGTCCGCCTGTGCTCTGCCCCGCTTCCGCGTGGACTTGGGCCCTGGGCTCTGAGTGTGTCTGCCTCTGCATGCCCCCCACTGTGTTCTGCTGGGCGGCTACCTGTCCATTTTCTGGTAGCTGCAGGTAGCAGCCATCCCATTCTGAGTGTGAATCTACTCTGACCCCTCCGTGAGCCACAGGGCGGAAGGCATAAAACCCTGCTAGCCCAAGGCCCCAGATGGAGACAGGAGCGCCTCACAGCTGTGCTGGGGGTGTCTGGGGCCCTGGCCTCCCCCAGTGCTGCTTGCCCAGGCCATCTCCACTCACCCGCCTTCCTCCAGATGTCCTCAGGCATGTAGCTGGTGAGGGTCCTCGGCAGGAACTCCCGGGGGATGTCTGAAACAGGGGCCAGTGTCACACAGGATGGGCCACGTGGCTGCCGTCCACGACGGGGCCCTGCCCACCCCAGCTGGGCCTGAGTGCAGGCAGAGTGCCTGTGCTTCCCTAGGGGAGGGCCCAGGTGCCCTGGTCACCGTCTGGCGCAGTCGGCAGGCACCCAGGGCAGCGCTCGGGCATGGGGGCGTGAGCGTGAGAGCTGTGGCCCCTGGATTCGTCTGGGAGCCATGTGCGTTCTAGGCCTCTCCTGGTTTCTGCACCACTGAGGCGGAGGAGCAGGGACCCTCAGGGCCTCCCCACTCTGATCCTCTGGCCTACTGGATGCCCTGAGCTCCAGGCCTCCAGGGAGACCAAGCAGTGTGTTTCTACGAAGTGAAAAAGGTGCCTTTGTCACGTGAACCTGTTTTGTTGCCTGGGGTCTGACTGCACTGCCTGCCTGGCACAGCTCCCCCAGGTGTCAGCCCCGCCAGAGGCGCCCCCCACACACCTGGCTGAGCCCCTTCGGGGCCGGCAGAGCTGCTGCGGGGCCGGGCGCTGGCAGGAGTGGGGCCCTTCTTCACGTCCTCCGTGTCGCTGAAGCGCCGCGCCCAGTGGTTGAGCTCCTCGCGGTCAGCCTCCTGGCAGCGGCGCAGCACCGTGAGCGAGCGCCGCGTCTTCTCCACCATGTCCATGATGCAGTTCAGGAGCTGGGGTGAGCAGGCGGGCGGCCTTCAGCACCTCGGGGAACCAGGGTGCACCAGACACTCTCTGTGCTGCCCACCGGGCTAGGCCACAGACAGGAGGGGTGCCTAGCCAGCCCACCACCCATGAGGGCAAGCGGGTGAAGCTCGTGGGTCTCTGGCCTGGGACTGCCCCAGCGCTTGTGGGTACCACACTCACACGGGACACGTGCTCAGACGCACGCAGGGGTTTGGGATTCTCCTTTTTAACCCACTGAGGTGGGCTCTGCCTCAGAGACCTGGCTTTCTGTTTGGGTTCCCCTCTGTCCTGGCGACTGAGTCTGGGACAGGCTGCAGGATAGGGTGGGTAGGTTCTGAGGAGCCAGTTCAGGGGCATCCCTGCACGTGTCCTGCCTCAAAGAGGCCCTTTCCCCAAACTTCTTTAGAAACTCAGGATACACTCTGGGAAGAACCAGTGAGCAGACAGCAGGTAGACAGAAGGTGAGGTCCACCATGTCGGTCAGGTCAGTTTCATGAATCCTTCTTGGTTTCTCACAATGCCCTGTACCAGCCTGGGCCAACAGTGGGGCAGCAGTGGACGGGGGGAGCTCAGGTAAGGATGTGCAGCTGGTAGGATGTGCCTACCTCACAGGTAGGCATGGAGCCCATGGGCACCCATGTGGGTGTAGCTGTGCAGGCATGGCTGTGTGTGTGGGTGTGGCTGTGTGTGTGTGGCTGTGTGGGTGGATGTGGCTGTGTGCATGGGTGTGGCTGTGTGAGTGTGGCTGTGTGAGTGCGGCTGTGTGTGTGGCTGTATGAGTGTGGCTGTGTGTGTGTGGCTGTGTGCGTGTGGCTATGTGTGTAGGTGTGGCTGTGTGGGTGGGTGTGGCTGTGGGTGGGTGTGGCTGTGTGCGTGAGTGTGGCTGTGTGCGTGAGTGTGGCTGTGTGGGTGGGTGTGGCTGTGTGTGAGTGTGGCTGTGTGTGGGGGTGTGGCTGTGTGGGTGGGTGTGGCTGCGTGAGTGTGGCTGTGTGTGTGGGTGTGGCTGTGTGTGTGTTTGGGTGTGGCTGTGTGAGTGTGCCTGTGTGCGTGGGTGTGGCTGTGTGTGTGTGTGGCTGTGTGTGTGGGTGTGGCTGTATGCGTGGCTGTGGCTGTGTGTATGTGTGTAGCTGTGTGCGTGGGTGTGGCTGTGTGATTGTGGCTGTGTGTGTGGGTGTGGCTGTGTGCGTGAGTGTGGCTGTGTGAGTGTGGCTGTGTGTGGCTGTGTGAGTGTGGCTGTGTGTGTGACAGCTGTGTGCATGGGTGTGGCTGTGCGTGGACACTCACGTTGTTGAGGTGCTTCCACTCTTCTGCCCACTCACGCTCGGTGAGCTTGTGGTCGATCACTTCCTCCTGCCGGGACCCAGGCACCACTGCAGACGGGGGAGGTGCACGCTTAGGTCCCGCCCACAGCCAGGCTCTGCCCTATTCTCCCAGACCCCACCCATGGGCTGTACCCCCTGGGCATAACGGACAGGGTGACCAGAGGGCTGGTTGACTCAATGCACGTGGAGGATGCCCGAGTTACGCAGCTGCCCCAGGCTCTGCGCACTCACCTCCGAGGAACGGTCCAGTCTCGGTCCTGTTCTGCAGCCGAGGCAACCCCGGCTGTTTAGGGGATGTGTTTGCCCAGGGCCACTGGGCAGGGAGCGTTGGTGCGGATCCAGCCTGGCTGGACTGCAGCACTGTCCTCAGCCACTGCCCACGAAAGCCTTGCTAGACCAAGCGTGGCCTGAGGATGCCCCGGTGCCAGGTCACACACGACCTGCACCTGCCTCAGTCCGTCAACTAACAGGAAACCTTGCTGGGGGAGTTGGTCTGTCATTCACAGCAGCCCTCTGAGGTCACCTGCAGGTGCCTTCGACTCAGACAAGGCCACATTGAGCGGCACCCAACCACGTGGCCTCAGCACCGCCTCCTGCCTGTACTGTGAACACCGCTAGGCACACGGAGGCCAGGTTCTCAGACCTGGCTTTGAGGACTGCCTCATCTGGGAGACGTTCTCTGCTCAACTCAGCTCTGCTCAGTGCAGCGTGTCTCAGGTCTTCCCTTCTGACAGGCTCCGGGACTGAAGCCCCAGGGGCCACTCCCACAGTCACCAGAAACTGACATGTGAATGACGCCCAGCAGCATCTGACTCTTGCGGGGGCTGCGCCCGTGGCTTCTGGAGAAACAGAGTCTTCCAGCCCCCACCGTTTTTGTTATCTGACTGTGGGCCAAGCTTCTTGGGGCTGAGGCCTTTCTCTTTGGGCCCTTGTCAGCCCCTAAGGATCTCCTAGCCCCCGAATCTGGAATGGCTCCCTGAAATTGCAGAAGAGGTGGGAGGTGGCAGCCACAGCTCAAAGTCACCACCCTGCCCCGCCGCCTGTGAAGCCGCAGCCGGCACCAGCACCCCAACCAAAATAGTGGCTGAGAGGAGCCTGACAGCTGGCGTTTATTTTTGCATCAGCAGAAGCGCGTGGGAGTCAGCACCTGCCCGACCGGCTGCACTGCGCCAGACGCCGTCACCTGCTGCCTGGGCCTGGGCCCTGGAACCTCCTGCAAGCTGGGGGCTGGGAGACGGCCTTGGGCAGGGCAAGGCCTCTGCTGACCCTGCCGCTGGGCCCCCACCATGCCCTGAGCCTCTGTCTCAGCATGGCAGGCCTGAGGCCTTCCCGCAGCCTGTCCTGGGGAGTCCTGGGGTTCTGGGGTGGGGCTGGCCCTAACCACCTCTCAGTCCTCAGCACAGAGGACACCAGAAGGTCGGGCAGGCTGGGCTATGAGACTGTGGGTGCAGTCCATGTGTTCTCTGGGCCTCAGTCTCCTCATCTGTGGTATGGGGGTGCTGCTGCCACCCAGATGACAGGCTTGGGAGTGAGTGAAGGGTAAAATGCACGGAGACTTTTTTCCCACTGCCCTGTCATAAATACCAGCCAGGCCTCACGGCAGCCCTTGCTGAGCCCTGTATTAACTCTCCCAGGCCTCCAACTCTGCGAGGTGGGACTCTCGTCTGATCCAAGTGATGGGGGAGAAAACTGAGGTGCAGGGAACCACGTGACCCACCTGCAGGTGCTCAATGGGCATCGCCAAGCTACGATGAGAACCATGTGGCAGCTCTACTCCAGGCCCAGGCCACCCACCCCAGGGGCAGAGGTGGGCTCCGGGCCCAGGCCAGGGCTCTCTGCAGTCAGCACCCTGCCCCGGGGGTATGGGGTCCTTCTGGCCCTGAGTGGTGCCAGGTGGAGGCAGGGGTCTCCTGAGTTCAGGTACACACAGCTGCCGGTGACACCCTGTGCCCACATGCTCAGGTGTACACAGCTGGGCGCACGTGTGCTCCTGGAGCACGCGCCCACTGCCTACCGCACTGCTCACCGAGCGGCCGCTGGCGCTCCCGCAGCTCCTGGGGGTCTGGGTGGCGGTAGGGGTCTCGGAAGTGGTGGGCCACGGCCATGTCCTCCAGGCGGTAGTGCGGTGGGGGCTGTGCTGGCCCGTTGCTGGGGCTGTAGCGCTGGGCAGGGTTCAGGGTGCATGGCCGTTTGCCAACGTGCTCAGGGTGCAGCGGGTCACGGTCCGACCCATTCTCTTTGGTCCTAGCCCAAAGAGCAGGCGGGGTGGGGTCAGTGGATATGGGATGAGCAGGGATGGACGTGCAGGGGGTTAGGCAGAGGGTGAGGCAGACAGGCATGGGCAGAGAGAAAGAGGACACGTCAGGGTGAGACAGAGACACGGAGCACAACACCAGCCCCGGGGGGCCCAGCCTGGGGCCCGTACTCTCCACCCCTCTGCCAGGGCCGAGCCAGCCTCAACCCCTGCTGCAGCTGCATGGATCCTGGGGCTCGGTGGGCTAGGAGCAGGACCCTGTGCTCTGGAAATGAGGAAAGGGATACACTGGCCTCCTGGGACTGGAGACCACCTGCCCCTTGGGCAGTAGTAGCGCAAGCCCATCTGTGGCAGCAGAGTAGGCCCAGCCCAGGCACCTGGGGACCCCCGAACCCCTGGATGCTCAGAGTCCATGCCCAGCACAGAAGAAAGACCCGGGCAGTGACCCCCGCCAGCCTCCTCTCTGTCCTCCTCGGCTCTCCGGAGCATCTGAGCCGGCAGCCCACTGGGGTGTCCACCTGCATAGAGGCTGGCTGGGCTGGCTGCGGCCCCCAGAGAAGGTGCCCTCTCTTACCAAGAGGGGAGCAGCATGAGCTGCGTGTGCCCCGCACCCTAGGCCCAGATGCCCGGAGGCCACAGGTACCTGTCGGGCGTCCTCCTCTTGCCGTTCTCGTTGACTTCCAGCAGCAGCTCTGAGGAGTCGACGGGGGAGGAGGCACTGGCGTCCAGCAGGAGCTGCTCGTGCTGGGCCAGGTACTGGGCGGGTGTCTGCTTGGCCAGCCGGGCACAGTGCAGGAGCTCCCGCTGCAGCAAGGGCAGGTTTGCCTGTGGGGTGGGGAAGGAGGGCGTGGAGGGCGTGGGTGGCATGCAGGGGTGCCTAGCTCCACTCAGGTCCGAGCAGAGGGCACCTGGGCTGGGTGACTGACGGCTCAACGAGAGCTTGGGCACTGTGCTCCAGCTCTCTGGACCTCAACTTCCTTCCTCACAGTGCTGTGAGAGGGTGGGCACAGAGGCTTGTGGGAGCGCCTCACCTGGGCCACACAGCCACATAGTGCGTGTGGAACTTGAGCCGGATCCACGGAGGCTCACCTCATCTGTGGGAGCACCTCACCTGGGCCACACAGCCATGTAGTGCATGTGGAACTTGAGCCAGATCCATGGAGGCTCGCCCCACCTGTGGGAGCACCTCACCTGGGCCACATAGCCATGTAGTGCATGTGGAACTTGAGCCAGATCCACGGAGGCTCGCCCCATCTGTGGGAGCACCTCACCTGGGCCACACAGCCATGTAGTGCATGTGGAACTTGAGCCAGATCCACGGAGGCTCGCCCCACCTGTGGGAGCACCTCACCTGGGCCACACAGCCACATAGTGCATGTGGAACTTGAGCCAGATCCACGGAGGCTCGCCCCATCTGTGGGAGTGCCTCACCTGGGCCGCACAGCTATGTGGGGCATGTGGAACTTGACCCAGATGCATGGAGGCTCACCCCACCTGTGGGAGTGCCTCACCTGGGCCACACAGCTATGTGGGGCATGTAGAACTTGAGCCAGATCCTGGGCTCCCAGGCTGGGGCTTTTCCATTGCACGGAGCTCCCTCCCATGGCAGTCAGGAGAAGGTGAGGAGGCAGGTGCCGCAGACGGTGGCTGCTCTTCCCACCTGCACCCTCCTGCCCTGCCCGGCAGGCACCACAGGACCGGGCACAGCTGGGGAGGGGCAGGCTCAGAGCAGGGAGGCGGCTCTGGGCCTGCAGCCGGTCACACGAGGGAGCCGGGAGCGGAGCCAGGCTGGTCTGCCTGCAGTCTGTCCGCTCCAGCCCTGATGGCAAACGCCATGGAGTCGGCCTCCCCTCCCTGGTTTCCAGCCTTGGCCTGGACGGAGCGTGCAGTGGGGACTGAACGCTAGTGTTCTGTGGCCACGCTACTCTGAGCACGTGGTACCTCCAGTGACCACCCCCCACCCCCAACCACGATGAGGACAGGGCTAAAACCTGGCTCCACATCTGTGGGTAAGGACTGCAGTATGGGGCGCCCAGCACACAGGCTTCCTATGTGGACCCTGCCTTTGACGCCTGTGTGGACCCGAGGTGCCCGTCGCCCCCTCCCTGGCTCCAGGCTGGCACTGCTGGGCAGCAAGCCGGGCCCCTCGTGTGACTTCGCCACAGTCTTCCCAGAGCTGCCGCAGGAGGGCGGACAGGCTGGATGCTGAGTGCGCTGGACCAGGGCCGGGCGGCAGACCACTTGGGAGAGCCAGCAGTTCCAAGTATTTGTAAATACATACAATTCCCCAACTTTCTCATGCATTTCAAAGCTGCCACGCCGCCTTCTCCCGCCAGCGCCTCCCCTTCCCAGGAGCACATCCACCAGGCCCTCTGGCAGTGCCGGCTGCTGGCCTGTTTTTCTCTTTGGATAGCTGAACTGGGGCCAACCAGCCATCTGCTGAGCACATTAGGAGCATGAGCTGGGAAAGGAGGTCCCGGGAGGGCTGCAGAGCCCAACGTCCTCCCTCCCTCGCCTTGTCAGCCTCTCCCCAGGGGCCTCCCCTGGGCCAGTTCGGGAACCTGCTGGGCGCTGTTGGGCAGGGAGAACATCTGGGTCCATGACCAGTTGGGGCTGGCTGGGAGCCGGGCGGTGGGGGGAGCCATGTCCCCCAGCTTCTGGAGAGCCTGACCCTTCGGTCACGTGTGGGGGGCTCAGGAAAGGGTGCAGGGGACCCGGGACTGGGCAGCACCAGTGTGTGGGTCAGAGGCACCGCAGCCCTGGGCCAGCAGGGAATGACACCCCCAGGCCTGCAGAATGGGGTGGGGACTGTGGGAGCCTCCTGCAAAGCCTCCTTCAAGGCAGTGTCCCCACTGTGTCCCCAGGAGACTCAGCTGCCTGGGAAGGTGTCACCACTAAATGCTACGCAAACCCAGCTGGTCACAAAATGCCCCAATTCCACCGCCAAACAGAGGTTGTCACTAGCGCGCCTGAAGCTGCCCTCTGCACAGATGGGACCTCAGGCTGGGGGGCTGTTGTCTGCAATGGTTGTAGCGGCGGCCAAGGTGCCAGCTTAGCCAGAGGGCTTTCGGGGGCTCCGCTGCTCTGCCAAGCATCCGGCTAGAGCCTCCCTGACCGTGGGCTCTGGCACCCACCGAGCCTCCAGCTGCAGCCTCCCTGACCATGGGCTCTGGCGCCCACCGAGTGCCTGGCTGCAGCCTCCCTGACTGTGGGCTCTGGCGCCCACCGAGCGCCCGGCTGCAGCCTCCCTGACCATGGGCTCTGGCGCCCACCGAGTGCCTGGCTGCAGCCTCCCTGACCATGGGCTCTGGCGCCCACCGAGCGCCCGGCTGCAGCCTCCCTGACCGTGGGCTCTGGCGCCCAGGGGCTGTGGTCTCCTGCAGCTCACTTAACCTCTCTGACCCTGGCTGTATCTGCAAACTAGAGCCGTGGAGACTCTGGCTGAGACCGGCCCTGGCAAGCTCCAGGTGAATTAGCCTGGTCCTCTCTGGGATTCACCAGATTCACCACCCCAGCTGCGGAGGAGAGGACCCAAACCAGGGCGGAGTTCCCACCAGAGAGGCCCCCCGCGAGCCTGCGCTGAACCTTCCACCACTTCTCTGTCTTTCCTCACTCTTCGGCTGCTTTGTGTTTGCCACGTCTCACACCTGCTGTTTCTAGGATGATGTCTGCAAGGCTACGTGAGGATGCCCCATGCTGGGCCTGGGGGGCTGTGGGTGTCTCGAGAAGGAGCTACCCCACTCCCAGCCCAGGCCACAGTCGGGAACACTGAGGCCCGAGGGGGCTGGCTGGGGGTAGGACTCTCCCACTGCCTCCTGCGTCTGGAGAGGCTGTGGGTGAGGCAGGGGCTCCCTCGGGGGTGAGGTGGCAGGGCCAGGGTTCTGGCAGGGGGTGTGGGTGGGGTCAGAGCACCCCTCTGGGTGGGACGGCAGGGCCAGGGTCTGGCAGTGCGGTGGGTGGGTGGCGGCTTCTCCCGGGGTGGGACGGCAGGGCCAGGGTTCTGAATAGCATCTGGGTAACTAACAGGTCCCAGAAGCAGGACTGGCTGAAGGATCTTGGTTTTTACTTTCTTTTTTTCAATCCTTCTGGCCTCCCCACCTCAAGCTCCACGTGGGATAGGTGAGTGGACTTCACATCCTAGACAGTCCCACTGGCCTTGGCCCTGGGTGGGGGCATGAGATGGGACGCTCTTCACTCCAGCCGCCCTGCACAGGCCAGTGGGAGCCCCTGTGTGCCGAGGGGAGACTGAGGCAGACAGGACCCTCTCGAGAACAGTGCCGTGGGCGGCGCCATGCTGGGGCATGGCCATGGGCACCAGGGCCTGACCAGACGTCATGGACAGGGGCCGGGGCCTGGCAGGGCAGGCGTGGGGACACCGTGGTGTCTCTCTGCCTGACCCTGCTCCTGGGGTAAAAGGGGTGGCTGAGGCTGTGGGGCATCTGCTGCTAATAAGCAGCTGCACAGTGTCCCCAGGGTCAGGAGGGTGGAGCCTGAAGCATGTTAAAGAAGGGAAGGGAGAGCTGCTAAGGAACCGAAAACAGCGCCAGATGGGCCCAGGCTCCCGCCACACCGGCAGCTTCTCCTTTGTCACCAGCTGGGAGCAGGTGCACAGCAGGTGTGGGAGGGGGTGGAGGAGGGAGGGAAGGCAGGAGGGAGGGGGGAGAAGGGAGGGAAGGCAGGAGAGAGGGGGGAGAAGGGCGGGAAGGCGGGAGGGAGGGAAGGCAGGAGGGAGGAGGGAGAAGGGAGAGGGGAGGAGGGAGGGAAGGCGGGAGGGAGGGGGGAGAAGGGAGGGCAGCAGGGGGATGGGAGGGGTGGAAGAGGGAGGGAAGGAGAGAGGGAGGGAGTGTGGAGGCCACAGAGGGAGGGAAGGTAGGTGGGGGGGTGGTGGGTGTGATGCGGGGTCCACTTGGGGAGGGACTGAAGGAGATGAGGGCCTGGCCCTGGGCGTGCCCTGTGATGGCCACAGCGTTTGCAGTTTGACATCCAGGTTTCAGCCCTGGCTCCATCTCTCCACCACCCGTCGAGGGGGAGGAAACCAACGGCCTCAGTTTCCCCACCTGCTAATCGGGAACATGGCTGTGCTATGATAACACCTTGACGGGTCAACAGGGCTGTGAGAGCTCCTTATAAAGCATTCCTCTTCTGTGGGATCCTTCACACCCCAGGATGGTGACGATGGCGATGACGGTGACGATGCCCCACGTGAATCTAGAACATGCCATGCCTCCCTGCAGTCCCCGCCACCCAGGAGACTGAGTGGGGAGATTCCTCTGAGCCCAGGAGTGGAGGCCCCGTTCTTTCCATGCGCCCCTCCATGCTGTCTTCCCAACAGCCTGTGAATGATTCCATTTCGCAGGCGCAGAAACTGAGGCACAGAGGAACTGGCCTGGCCCAGATGCCGGTAGCTGCTAAGTGGCAGGGTTGGGCTCCAGCTGGGGGCATCTGGTCTGGTCTGTCCTCTAGACCCCTGAGGGGAGGCCTAGCCCAGCAGAGATGGAGCCCGAAGCGGGACAGGCAGTGCTCAGGGTAGGCCTGCAGGTGTGGCCAGACCGGCAGGTTTCTGACCCCAACACGTGCTGGGCAGAGAGGGCCACGTGGTCAGTCAGGTTTGGGGAACGTTTCCTCCAGTTCTGCGAACAGATGTGTAGCTGCCTCGGGGAAGTGGAGGCCTGCAGCGAGGATCGTCTGACTCTGCAGCAGACCTGAACCCGTCCCGTTTGCATGTGTGTGGGAATCATTGGCTTGATTCATTCATCCATTCATTCAGAGACGTGGTCTCGCTCTGTCACGCAGGTGGAGTGCAGTGGCACGAACACAGCTCATTGCAGTCTTGACCTCCTGGGCTCAAGCGATCCTCCTACCTCAGTCTCCCAGGCAGCTGGGACCACAGGTGCATACGATGCCCAGCTAATTTTTAATTGTTTTTGTAAAGATGGGGTCTAGTGACCGGGCACGGTGGCTCACGCCTGTAATCCCAGCACTTTGGGAGGCTGAGGTGGGCGGATCACCAGGTCAGGAGTTCGAGACCAGCCTGGCCAGTATGGTGAAATCCCATCTCTATGAAAAATACAAAAATTAGCAGGGTGTGGTGGCAGGCACCTGTAGTCCCAGCTACTTGGGAGGCTGAGGCAGGAGAATCCCTTGAACCGAGGAAGTGGAGGCTGCAGTGAGCCGAGATCGTACTACTGTACTCCAGCCTGGGTGACAAAGCGAGACTCTGTCTCAAAAAAAAAAAAAAAAAAAAAAAAAACAAAAAAAGATGGGGCCTAGCTATGCGACCCAATCTGGTCTTGAACTCTTGGCCTCAAACAATCCCTGCTCCTCAGACTGGCATCTTTGAAAATGCAGGCTCTGACTGGGTAGGTTTGGGCCAGGCCGAGAGCCTGTGCGGCTGGCAAGCTCCTGGTGCTGCCACCCTAGTCCACAGTTGATCTGGGTGTGACCTCTGACCCACTTCCACCTGACGGTGTTTCATCCACCCGCCTACCCGTCACACAAGCCCCTTCCTGCCTATCCACCGCCCGTCCCGTCCGCTGCGTCTCACCCTCGCCTCTGCTGTCTGCGCCACGCACTCTGTTCCGGTCACACAGACGCCTCTGCTGTTCCCCAAGCCCAGAGGGCGCCCCATGCCTCAGGGCCTCTGTACGTGCAGTTCCTGCTGCCAGGAAAGCCGGGGGCTGGCTCTGCATCAGCTCCGCCCTCATCCTTGGCTGTTGGCAGCATGTCCCCGCTCAAGGGGCTTTCCGAATATTTCTCCACCATGCACACGCAGATTTGACAGTGGCTGTGGGCTGAGCACCTTCACGGCCCCGGGATGCTGGCTCCAGGAGGGACCTGCTGCACGTCCTGGGCCTTGTCCCCAAGCCTTGCCTAACGGTGTGTCGTTAGTGCTCAAGCGTCAGCTGTGGCATAAGCACATTCAGCCGACAGCAACCAGAGCTCTGCCCAGCGCTGGATGTATCTTTTTTTTTTTTTTTTTTTTGGAGACAGAGTCTTGCTCTGTCACCCAGGCTGGAGTACAGTGGCATGATCTCAGCTCACTGCAACCTCTGCCTCCCGGGTTCTTGATTCTCCTGCTCACCCTCCTGAGTAGCTGGGAGTACAGGTGTGTGCCCCTACACCCAGCTAATTTTTGTATTTTTAGTAGAGACGGGGTTTCACCATGTTGGTCAGGATGGTCTTAAGCTCCTGACCTCGTGTGTCCGGCCACCTCCACCTCCCAGAGTGCTGGGGTCACAAGCATGAGCCCCTGCGCCCCGCCTCCTGCACTGGATTTAGTGGCTGACTAATCATCTGGTCTGCTAACTAATTTTCAGGCCTTAACTAGTAGAAATTGGCCCAGATTAATCAGTAGTGTTCCCCTAGGTTACTAGAGGGTCCCAGGTTGGCCAGGATTGATGCCTGATCACACACTAGCAACGAACAGATTCCGGGCCTCACAGGGAGGGACTGGGTTTGCCGTTACCTTCAGGAAAGGAATGACGAAGGGCCGCAGAGGGAAGTTGGTGGCCTCCTGAAGCTTGCAGTGAAACTCCTCGATCGTCAGCGTCGAGTTCTAGGATGAGAAAAGCCGCCTCTTGTTGGCACCACTCAGCACAAGAGCCAGCACTGTCCCACCCATGCCTGATGGGGAGGGTCTGTGTTGGAGGCAGCCCAGGAGCTGGGCAAGCCTGGGAGGGTGCAGGGGGCATTGAGGGAGTGCCCATGCCCGGTTGGCAGGATGGAGTTCACGTGAGGGGTGGCTGTGCCGCATGGTCATTAAATGGAAGGCATGTTCAGGTGCCAAGGCCCCGGCCACCCCGCCGGACTCACCACCAGGCCCAGCACCAGCGTGCGCACCCGCTCCCCGATCTCTGGGGAGATGTCGCTGCCGAACTGCTGCAGGGTGGTGAGGAAGCGCTTGAGCTTGCTGAGCTGCCGGGCCCCGCAGGCCGGGGGCAGCTGCTGTGTGGACAGGGAGGCCGTGGACGAGGTGGCCGGGCCATCGCTGAAGCCGTTGGGTGTCGATGGTGCGCCGTTGATGGCTGTTGGCGAGGGGCTGCTTCCGTTCATCACTGTGAGAGGGGAGGGAGCGAGGGCGGCGCACGTGAGGACGTGAGTGACGCTGACAACACCGCCCAGATGGCGGTGGCAGAGGACAGCAGGAGTCCCAGGCCCACCCAGGGCCGCTCTGCCAGACCTCTGAGCGCTGACCATCTGTCCTCCTAGCCCTGCTCTGAGGGGTCACACACACCCCCTTACAGATGGGGAAATGAATACCCGGAGAGGTGAAGGCCTGGGCACCAGGTCCCCAGGGGGCACCCACAGTGGTGGTGGCTGTGGAGTTAACTGCGTTCTGAGTGTGGCTTCCCGCCCAGCACCACCCTTGGGACTTGCTCTGGGGCTGACGTGAGGCCCTTCACACCCAGCAGGCAGGCGTGTGGCCCCTACGCCAGGCCTGGGAGTCACTGGCCCCCCCACCCAGGCTGGCTCGGGTTTTCCCTGTGAACAGGCAGACAGGGCTTCTCCACACACTGGGGGCTTGACAGCCCAGTTCCCGCATGCTGGAGGCAAAGGAGACGGGATTTGAGAAGCTGCTCATACCCCTGAAAGGCCAGCTACCCTCACACCTCTGCCATGATGTTCGGAAGCAATAGCCCCCACCCCCGATCAGGCATCTCCTGACCCTGAGCAACTCTGCCCACAAGCATCTCCCAGCCCCAGCAATGCTCCCCCGACAGGCGTCTCCCAGCCCCAGCAATGCTCCCCCGACAGGCGTCTCCCAGCCCCAGCAATGCTCCCCCAACAGGCGTTTTCCAGCCCCAGCAATGCTCCCCCCACGGGGTCTTCCAGCCCCAGCAATGCTCGCCCAACGGGCGTCTTCCAGCCCCAGCAATGCTCCCCCAACAGGCGTCTTCCAGCCCCAGCAATGCTCCCCCAACGGGCATCTTCCAGCCCCAGCAATGCTCCCCCTACAGGTGTCTTTCAGCCCCAGCAATGCTCCCCCAACAGGCGTCTCCCAGCGCCAGCAATGCTCCCCCTACAGGCATCTTCCAGCCCCAGCAATGCTCCCCCTACAGGCGTCTCCCAGCGCCAGCAATGCTCCCCCTACAGGCATCTTCCAGCCCCAGCAATGCTCCCCCTACAGGTGTCTCCCAGCGCCAGCAATGCTCCCCCTACAGGCATCTCCCAGCCCCAAGCAATGCTCCCCCCACAGGTGTCTCCCAGCCCCATCAGTGCCTTCATTTGCACACAGACCCAGTGCCTGAGCTAACCGGGTCCCAAGGGGCAGAGGAATGGGACACCCAAGGACATGCTCGGTGGGGTCCTGCTTCTGGTGGCTGTGTGCACACAGGCCCGTATGTGTGGAGGACAAGCAGGTGACATAAGGGACAGCTGATAAGCTTGCCACAGGGTCGCCTGTTGGCCACTGAGACGTGACTGCCTGGCTGGCTCTACTGTCAGGGTCAGCCTTCCAGGGCCCTGGCAGACATGGGCTGCTATGGAAAGTCCCAGGGCCAGGCCTCGCCCCTTTTCTCAGGTGACAGAGCTAAGGCCAAGCCTTTTGTGAGGAGTCCAGGGCAGCCCTCCTATGCCCAGCCCACCTGCATGCGATATGCCCTTGGCCTCAGGAGCCTGAGCGGTGACCCCATGCTCTGCAAACAAGTCGGAGGCCACAGGGCTCCCAAGTCCACTGCTGACAGGGGACAGGCCCCGGCCAGCTCCTGCTGTGAGGAGCACTGAAGCCCCGTGCACTCACCCCTGGCTCCTGCCTCCTGCATGTGGACACTTCCCCGACACAGGGCACCCACATCCCTGGTCCCTAGAGAGCCCTCCATTTACTGCCTCACCACCCTTCACACATTAATGCATGTACAACACACATGTACTCACGCACACACATGCATGGCTATGATGTACATGTGCGCCTCTCCTGCTCCACTGTGGCCCCGAGTGCCTCTCCGGGGGTCCTGCCCTCTCACCCTTGCTGAGCATGGGTCTGAGGGCTCAGGGCAGCACAGAGCCACCAGCTCCCTCAGGGCCGAATTCCTCCCAGGCTCCAGCCGGACGCTCTGCACCTGTGGCTGAAGCCTGGTGGGGCCTGTGTGTGCTGAGGAAGAGCAGAAACTCCTTCCCCCAGGACGGGGACATGCTGGGCTGGGCTGGGCTGGGCTGGGCTGGGCGGCGGCTCCTCCTGAGCAGCTGGTAGGTGACTGCTGCTGACTCTGTGAGCCCTGGACAGTGCAGGGTCTTGGTGTACCCCCTGGACTGAGCTGGCCCTGCCCATCCTGACCTGGGCCCTCGGAGGTAACCCCTGCTGACAGTTGTGGCCTCAGACTGGAAGGGCGGGAGCATGGGACATGGGGGCCCACACGTGGCCCCCTTCCTGGGCTGTGGCTCCGCTGCGCACAGCCTCCCTTCCTACCCGCCCCTGCAGGCCTGGGCTTGCCCTGGGTTGCACCCTCCCAAGGGTGACTGACCAGCCTGCCCCTGACAGAGGCCCTCTGAGGGGTTGGCCCTCTCCTAAGTGTCCCTCCAGTGACCCTTAGGTGGCTATCCTCGGCTCATGGCACTCTGCCATCCCAGAAGCCACCTGTGGCTCCCGCCTTCCTGACCCTCGGTCCTGTGACACCTGCGAGGTGCCGCCCGAGTGAGGGAGCCATGCTGTGGCCTGGGCTGGGCTCTGCACCCTGCACATACTTGACAGGCCGTGCAGTCGCCATGTGTGTCCCACACGGCAGATGGCATGGAGGAGGTGCAGCAGGGTGGCCCGGCTCCCCGAGACCCCCTCCTAGCCCCAGCAGACCCCACATGCCGGCAGCCAGCGCCAGGCACAGCAGGAGGGGGCAAGGCCAGCCCAGCACTCAGGACGTTTTCAGCGGAGAAGGCGGAACAGATGCGCTCACGGCGGCCTCCCCTGGGACCCAGGGCTCACCCTGCCCTCTCTCTGCCCTGGGCCTCACAGTCGCCTGCTGCAGGAGCTGTGGGAGGAGGCCAGAAGGGCCACAGAGGCCCTCAGATGCACCTGCGTGGTGAGTGTGTCCACACAGACACAGCCCTGCCCTCAAGTTCCAAGCAGGGCCCCAGGGAGCAGAGGGCAGCGTCGCAGCCGGGTGGCTCAGGCCTGCGCCTGCTTACCCTCTTTCCTTGCACTTCCCAGGTCAGCCAGGATCTAACTACATTCTCACTGGCTTTATGAGCTGAGTGTTACGTGAGGCTGTTGGCAATAACCAGCCCCATACCTAGAATTCTGGAAACCACTAACTGAAGGTCAGAGTTGGCACAAAGCCTTGAGTGTACACGTGGCCGTGGCCTCGTCCTCTTCTATGAGGTGGCTGCAGCGTGGAGACATCTCTGCTGCTGGGGCTGTGAGCCTCCCTCCACGCGCGTCCTGACCTCCCTCCACGTGTGTTCTGGCCTCCCTGCATACGGGGTTCTGGCCTCCCTCCACGTGCATTCTGAGCGGCCATGCCCCTCAACCAGGGGCGGCTGTCAGCGGGTGGCACTTCTCTGCACTCCCCCCGGGGTTAAATGATTTCAGGAGTGCCTTCCTGGGCTCAGGATGGACACCCCGGCCCTCTGGACTGCATGACACCAATAAAGGTGCCGGGTTCTGGAACTTTCCCTCCTCTGCAGGACAGTGGGTGCCGATGCAGGGTGTGCCGGGCCCCTGGTCTCGCGCCCTTGGAGGCTCTGTCTGGAGGAGCCACCGCACTGCTGAGTTTCCCTCTCGCTGGCCACACAGTGAACTGTGACACACACACACCCCGTCAAGACTGAGGACAGCCACCTGCGGCCACCCAGCCAGGCCAGGAGACGCCGTCACCTGTGGGAGACCTCACCACAGTAAGGAGCTGGCTTCTCCAGGACACGCAGGACTGTTCCCAGGACTGTGGACCTTCCTGCGGCTCCTCAGACGCGCCACCGTGCACGCCGGGTCCCCACCCCCGCCCTGGCCAGCCTGGCCCTCCTGCAGGTTCGCTTACCAGCCTTGCCCAGGGTGCCCGGTCCTTCCGGCGGCCTGCTCGCCCTTGCCTGCCCGCACGCTCCCTGCGTGCTGCCGGGCAGTCTCAGCAGCTAAAGAGATGCCGAAAATAACCCGGCACAAGTGCTTCCATTCCCACAACAGGTGTGTTACTAAGTTAGACCGCACACGTGTCCCCAGCTGAGGTTTGGGGGCACACGCTAGCACCCCGCAGCTCCTCAGGGCCTTGCTGGGAGGGTTAGACGGGGCGGAGGCACCCTAAGGCAGCCCCTCCCACCACCCCTTCTCCTGGCGGTGGGGGCTCCGGGACAGGCCGTCCTGGAGCTGGGATTCACCATCATCATCATCCGTAAGTTCGAACTGCGGAGCGAGCAGCCATGGTCGGGGGCCACCCACCAGGCAGCAGCGCACAGCCAGGCCCGTCACAGAGTAATGCCGGCGGCAAAGACGGCTCCATGCAGCAGAAACGATGCCCACTGATCGGCTGCCCTCACAGCTGGGCTGTGCTGCCAGGCTGGCTGGTGGCGATGGACCGGAGTCCGTCTCACAGCCTCAGGCACGGCTGCACTTACTGGGTGACCAAAACTCCAAACACCACTTGGTAAGAGCCCGTGTTCACGGAACATCTGCATGGGCCAGGCGTGTGGACGGGAACATCTGCTGGTGACTCACGTCTGCTGAGTGCCCAGCGTGTGCCTGGCCCCATCCTCTAACGGCTCCTGGAGATCATCCTCGGCACTGGGTGCCATGATTACTTCCATTTTACAGGTGGGGAAACTGAGGCACAGGGTAGTACCTGTCCAAGGTCACCCTGGCAGGAAGTCACAGCTTGCAGCTGGGACTCTGGGTAGGTGGGGTCTGCCCTAGCAGTGGCTGAGCTATACGCTGGCAAGAACCTGTGCCCATCCTTCCCCTAGATACTGGCAGGCAGCCTCAGGTGCCATGTTTTGCTGCTGCGGAAGGAAGCTCAGAGAGGCTCTGCTCCTGCCTCACGCCCTGCGGCTTGGAGCGGCAGGGTCTGTGGGATGCGGGGACCCTGGTGGCTCTGCCCTCCCCCATCCTTTTCTCCCTAAGGAGGCAGGGCCAACAGGGCAGAGGCAACGCTGTGGGCGCTGAGGCCGTGGGAAGAGAGCCGTGGCCCCCAGGCGTGGCTGTGCTGGGGCGGCAGAGGGTGGGAGGCCTGCGGTTTTTGTTATTTTACTTACAGAGACAGACCATAGACCATTTTAAGCAGCCATGAAAACGGCCGTGGGGCAGTGCTGCAGGCCCGTCCTCTCGATCTGTAAGCAAAATAAGAAGAACACGCTGTCAGGAGGGGCGTGGGCAGGGGACCCCGCCCATGCAGGGGACCCGCAGCCGCGCTGCTCCTGCTTCTCAGAGGGTTTCAGGGATTGGGGTCTATCGCCGCCTGGGGCCACGCCACTCCCCCTCCAGGCTTCAGTTTCCTTCTCTGAGAGTGGGTGATCTCTAAGGGCCATTTTTGGCAGGACTGTTCCAGAATCTACAAGAACCTCGGCTTCTCTACTGGCCGGGCGGGGGGGCCCTCGTTCTCAACGCCCTCTTCCCACACGGTGCCTGCAACCCCATCAGCACCATCCTCAGGGGCCTGGGCCAAAGCTGCATGTTCTAAAAGTGACCTGAGACTCAGCTTGGAGTCTCTCAAACAAAGCCCAGGGTCAGCGCTGAAGGGGGAAGCACTGAACAGGAAGAAGGAATCCGCCGGGCGTGGCGGTGCATGCCTCTAACCCCAACACTTTGGGAGGCCGAGGCGGGAGGATCATTTCAGCCCAGGAGTTCAAGACCAGCCTGGGCAACGTAGGGAGACCCCATCTCTGTTATATAAAAAAATAAAGAAAGATCTAGTCTGCCTGAGCGGAAGTTAGTGGTAAAGGCAATGGGAAGGCAGGCTGTAGCTCTGTGGACACCGGCAGTGAGTTCTCCGTCATGGGGGTAATCAAGCACAGGATAAAGCCTGAGCCCTGTGAGGGTCCTCCCAGCTTTAGAGGAGCTTGGTCTGGTCCCTGCTGCCTATCTTCCTTCCCTCGCCGCTGCCCCCACAGCGGCACCACAGCTTCAACTCCAAGATGAATCTGTACTCCAGGCAGTCACTGGGCAAGAAACACTGCAGGCCTCAAGCCGCCATTTGGGGCCAGTCTCCCATCAGCTTGGCTCAGAGGCCAAACCCCAGGGAGGCTCCGGAGCCTCTAGTCAGGGTTCTGTGGCTGAGCTGTGGCTCCCTCCAGGGCAGCCACCAGCCAGGGCCACGGGCACAGCCAACCTCCAGGCTTTCAGGAATTGGGAGGAGTAAGATGAACCTGAGGCTGCCTTCGGGGTGCCCAGAGCCTCAGACAGGTGCTCCTGCCAACCCGGTGGGACCACAGTGTCAGCTCAGAGAAGAAAAAGCATCGCTTCTCTCTTTTATAACCTTCATGCTCCTTAAACGTAGCTGGGACCTCACCCCAGAAATGTGGTCCCGTGGCAGGCTGAGAACGGAGGGGGCAGGAAGGACCCCCAGCCCTGGGCAGGCCGGCTGCCCTCACATCTGTTCACAGGTCCCACCCCACCCCCAGCCAGGAGCATCGGGTCGCCAGATGAGCACCTTTGAAGCATGGGCTGCTGGTACACGGGGAAGAACAGGTGGCAGACGCACCCCTGAGGGTCTGGGGAGCCAGGCTCAGCCCGCAGCATCTATCCCTGACACGGGGTCTGAGGATGTTTGTGGAGCGGGCGTTTTAGGCCCTGCACCCACGGCTGCATCTCCCGTGGTCCCTGCTGAGCATGTCCTCCCCGAGCCAACCTCTTACTAGCAATTGCAGCCAGCTCAGCAGAGCTGGGACCGCATGCTGGGCCAGTCCGCCGTCCGGGACCCGCACGACTGTCACTGCAGCGGCCCGCCTGTCAGGAGGCAGGAGTGCAGGCTCCATCACACACAGGAGCCCCGCAGGTGCAGGGAGGGGGCTTGGGGCTGTTTGGCTCCCGCTGAATGCTGGGCACGTTCCTGGATGTACCTGCCTCTGCACAGCACACCTAGGACACCCTGTGGGTAGGTCAGGTCATTCCCCATCAGTCAGAAGGCGGGCTCGGAGCCAACGTCCTACAAACAGGGGCCCTCAATCTGCTACTGGACCCACCAGCCAACGCTCTTTCCAGAGGGAGGGAGATGCTGCCCAAAGCCCCTGGAGGAGCAGGCCTCCCAGCCTCAGGGCAGAGCAGGGGGAGCAGGCCTAGCCCACTGGCTGCCTGGTGCTCTAGGGACAGTGGTGACACAAAGGGACAGAGGAAGCAGCTCTTCCTGGCCGGTCGGGGACCCGGGGCCAGCAGGACAAAAGTCTGAGGCTCCTCCCCAGAGAGGGGCTCTGTGCTTAGACTCCCGCCCACTGAGGCTAACAAGTCTCCAGCCCTAGAGACACTGACGCACGCTCCTGAGCCCCGGCCTTGAGTGGCAGGGACGCTGCCCACCCTACCTGCCCAGCAACTGGCCCAGCGACTGGCCCAGCACCCAGAGAACTGGCTGCTCCCTCCTCATAGCACCCCATGGCCCACCCTCGGCGGCTCTGCGCGCCAAGCCTGGCCAACCCCTTGCCCAGGGCCTGAGAGCATGCCCAGGCCCCCACCCTGGCCCCTGTGCTTAGCCGGGCTGCGGAGCTGCTGGGATCTGAGCCCCTCCAGGGCCAGAGCTGCCTCTATGGCTCTTCCGAGGGTCCTGTGCACAGGTGAGCTGCTGTGTGACCCTGGGAGAGCCCCTGGCCCCGTCCGAGTCCCACGTTCCCTCTGGATGGAGCCTGGCATCCTGGGGCCTGCCAAGCAAGGCAGAAAGCCTGAGGCACAGTGGCCGGCCCTGGTGCAAGGCCTGTGTGGACTCACCTGGCCCCACCACAGCCCCGGGAGGCCCCGCACTGCAGACGAGGAAGCCGGGGTCCCGAGAGGCTGAGGAGTGGGCCAGGGGCTGCACGGTGGAAAGCAGGGAAGCTGGGACTTGAACTGCAAGGCTTGGGCTCTGGGCCGCACCTCATGAGCTCCTCACACTCAGGGCTTACAGCAGGTGCTCAGCAGCTCAGGGCAGGAAGCTCAGGATTGCAAACAACACGAGGGGCTCCCCTGAAGCACCTGGCCCTCGGCCATTGGCTACTCACGTGTGTGTGGTGTGAAGGAGCGGGGGGCGTGTGGCTCCCTGGGACGTGGCAGGTGGTGGGGGCGGCATGCTGGGGGGTGTGGACTGAGGCTGTGTCTTCACCTCCGCTGGGGAGTCCGGCATCGCTGAGGCCTTAGCCTTCCTGTCCACTGGGCCTAAGACCGAAAGAGAGAGTCGATGAAGCTGGCTAAGTGTAGAGGCCAGTGCCCGCAACCCCACGGGTTCCCAGCCAAGGCCCCACCGAGTGTCTGCAGGCCCAGGTGCGCCCCCAGGTGCCCTGACAGGCAGGCGGACGCCCCACCTGCAGGTGATCATGGGGCAGAGCCAGGCTGGACAACCAGCTGGGTCAGCTCACTGCAGGTGGCCACCGGGCTGGGGCCGGGGCCCTCAGTGTGTGGTAGGCCTGGGAAAGCTGCGCCCCACCCCCGGCTTGAGGTTTCTGCAGAGCAGGGAGCAGGCAGTGCCCAAGGTGGCAGTGCCACACTCCCACCTCCATGTGCACCCCCGGGGGGTGTTCAGCTTGGTCTCGGCCTCTCCCCAGTTCTGATTCAGCTGCAGGTCAGGCTGGGATGGAGAATCTGCATTTCCCACATGTTCCCAGGTGGGGCTGCTGCTGCTCCAGCCCCAGAAACCACAGTTCTAAGAGCCCCTGCCACCTTCAGGTGCTAGAAGGCTCCCCTGGGAAGGGAGTGCCTGCCCAGGCAGAGCCCAGCACACGGGCCATCTCGGGCAGGTAGAACCTCTATTTTAACTGCCTTCTGCCCGGGTGATGGGCAGGACAGCTGAGACGGATGAGGTGGCGTTGATTTCAGGATGGCGAAGCCTGGTCCTTTCCGAGTGTGGCCCACCCGCATGTGGTGGTGCCAGGACAGTCGATGCAGCAGAACCCACAGCTGAGTAACATTCCCCGTGGCCTGAGGCGCCCAGAACTCTGAGAAGCTCGGCCCAGGGCCAGCTGTGTGGCAGAGGGCCAGGAAAATGCTGAAGGCACTGGTGGGCTGGGACTGGTGGACACTGAACCCCCTGAGCCACCCAGAGTGCAGGACCTGTGGACACAGCTTCCGGGTTAACCCCAGGGCCTGCAGCACATAGACCTGCCCCAGACACCGAGCCCCAGACACCCGGAGGTCGAGCCAGCAGCCTGTCGGCGGCAGTTTCTGCAGGGGGTAGGGATATAAGCCTGTGGATCCCCCAGTTCATCTAAGTCAAGGTCAGCCAGCGCCAAGGCTAGCTGGAAAGACCTGGGACCCCCCAGCTGAGGCTTCGGGGCCTCAGTAGCTGAGACCGACAAGGTGGGCTCTCCACCTGCTATCACCGGCATGGCCCCGCACACTCCCCCTGCTGCTCACACCTGTACGGCCCCACACCCTCCCCCTGCTGCTCACACCTGCACGGCCCCACACGCTCCCCCTGCTCACACCTGCACTACCCCACACACTCCCCCTGCTCACACCTGCACTGCCCCACACGCTCCCCCTGCTCACACCTGCACTGCCCCACACGCTCTCCCTGCTCACACCTGCACTGCCCCACACGCTCCCCCTGCCCACACCTGCACGGCCCCACACGCTCTCCCTGCTCACACCTGCACTGCCCCACATGCTCCTCCTGCTGCTCACACCTGCACTGCTCCACACGCTCCCCCTGCCCACACCTGCACTACCCAACACACTCCCCCTGCTCACACCTGCACTGCACCACAAGCTCCCCCTGTCCACACCTGCACTGTCCCACATGTTCCCCCTGCCCACACCTGCACTGCCCCACACGTTCCCCCTGCTCACACCTGCACTGCTCCACACGCTCCCCCTGCTCACACCTGCACTGCCCCACACGCTCCCCCTGCTCACACCTGTACTGCCTCAAAAACTCCCCCTGCTCACACCTGCACTGCCTCATGCTCTCCCTGCTCACACCTGCACTGCCCCACACACTTCCCCTGCTCACACATGCATGGCCCCACAGGCTCCCCCTACCCAAACGTGCACTGCCCCACATGCTCCCCCTGCTCACACCTGCACTGCCCCACACACTTCCCCTGCTCACACATGCACGGCCCCACACGCTCCCCCTGCTCACACCTGCACAGCCCCACATGCTCCCCCTACCCACACCTGCACTGCCCCAGACGCTCTCCCTGTTCACACCTGTACTGCCTCAAAAACTCCCCCTGCTCACACCTGCACTGCCTTACACGCTCTCCCTGCTCACACCTGCACTGCCCCACACGCTCCCCCTGCTAACACCTGCACTGCCCCACACACTCCCCCTGCTGACACCTGCACTGCCCCACACGCTCCCCCTGCTCACACCTGCACTGCCCCACACACCTCCCCTGCTCACACCTGCACTGCCCCGCACGCTCCCCCTGCTCACACCTGCACTGCCCCTGCATGCTCCCCTTGCTGCTCACACCTGTGGTGTCTCACACATGGCCCAGGGCATGAGCAGGTGAAGCCACAGTTGGCTGGTGTCTGTCGCCTTCATTAGTGAGCTATGGATGCTCCCCCTGCTTCTCTTGCCATTTCCCATGCCAGGGGCCCTAGCTCTATCGTCAGACGGAGAGATACCCTTGGGGTCAGGGCCACCTGGCCTCTGTGGAAGGTGACCAATAAACGGCTTTTACGGCTACCATGTGCCAAGCGCTGTGCAGACCTCGCTGATCCTCTTGCCACCTGCCTCTTACTGAGGGCGGAGAAGCTCACAGAGGCTGAGGTCCTGCCCGACATGTCAGGGTGGCGGTGCCCAGCTGTTACCTGCATCTGTGCTGCAGGCGGGAGTGGAGCAGTCCTACCACCCCATACCCTGTCTACTTGGCGTGTGGTGAACAGTGTGGCAAGGAAGCAGCCAGTAGGCAGCCACCCATGCCTCACGACGCCTGCTGTCCCCTTCACACAGCTGCTGGCCTCCCTCCGAGGTGTGCCTGCCCCTCCTGCCCAGAGGCTGACGGCTGGGAACACGTGTGGCCACAGCTGTGGGGGCCGTCAACATCTCCTGGCTACAGGGCTGGTGGCCAGTCCCTGGTGACAATGCAAGAAGATGGGCATGTGGGGCGTCCCTGTGGGGTGTAAGAAGGAGAGTGTGGTGGGGCGTCCCTGTGGGGTGCTCCCATCCTGACCAGGCTGCCCTTGGGCCAGCGAGGGTTGGGCACGCTCAGAAGGGAGCCGGCAGGGATGGGGTTGGGAGCTTCAAATGCCAGGCTGGCTCTGGGGACACAGGTCCAGGACACTGGGGATGCCACCTGTTTGGACCTTTCAAAACCCTCCCACGGAGGCAGCTTCATTCCAGCTTTGAAAATCGAATAACAGAAGTGGCTGCACAGAGAGCCCCCCTCCGGGGAGCTGGTGCCGGGCACTGGGCGGGCTTGTGGGGCGGACGGACACGCCACGTTTCGTAAGGTTGAGAGGGTGGCCAGGAGACCAGGGCTGTCAGGCCACAGCACAAGGAGTTACCACAGTCATCATCCAACAAGGGCTTACGGCCACAGCCCGCATGCTTGTGACACGCTGGGCTGGAAGCCAGAGCAGACAGTGCCCTGTGGTGCCCAGGGCAGTCAGAATTTCGTGGGTCCCCATTGGGCAGAACAGCGGCCGTCCCTTTACCAGGAGACCTGGAGAGCGGCTCACCACGGGGAGGCTCTTCTTGATGACTTACAGATACTGAGGCCTCCTGTCACTCTCGTGGACCCTCTGCGGTGACGCTACCATCAGCCCATTTTACCATCAGCCCATTTTACAAGGAGGGACGAGGCTCAGAGAGGTGACATGATCTATGCAGGGCCCCACCGCAAGTCCGCTGCGTGCTGGGATCTGAACCCCGACCCAGAGCTGCCCCACCCAGGGCCAGGCTCTGCAGGACTTCCAAGTCCTGGCTTGTCATCAATGCACCCTCCTCCTCCTGGGGCTCAGGGTACTTGCAAAGAGGCAGCAGGTCTAGAATTCAAACCAGAGGCGAACGGAGGCTGTCGGGGGACAGGAGGCCCCATGCCTGAGGAACACACCAGGGAGTGGCTGGTGGCCTCCCCTCTCCTCTGCCGGCCCCATCCCGGGTTGTGCAGGGCAGCCGTGCAGGTGATAGGACCTCATGGGGTTTGCTGAATCCTAAGTGTTCCTGGCTGTGTGGCCTAGGGAGAGCCTCTTCCCCTCTCTGAGCCTTACTTTCGTCCTCTGTACGTGTGGAGGAAGCCGGCTGACAGGGTGATGACGGGGAGGTCCCCACAGCCTGCCTGGCATGCAAGGGGACCAGGCCGAGGCTTACAGAGCCATGTGTGGCTCAACTTACCCCTGTGGCTGCCCCCGGCTCAGACTCCACCCAAGAAAGCAAAGTGACAAGGACCCCAGGGAAGATGAGGGTGAGTGGGGGTGGTTACAGGAACAGGATTTGTGGCCAACGAAATAGCCTGGGACTTGGCCAGGACCTGAGGAGGGACCTGGGAAGGAGAGGGGGTGGGGTGAGGGCAGCAGGGAGTCGGGGGTCTGCACTGTAGCAGCCGGGGCCGTCTCTGGAGGGCACGTCGCCTCTCTCCTGCTCGAGACCCTCCAGCAGCTCCCACTGCACATGGGGATTCAGTCCACATCACTCCCTGACCCTGCTCTCCCCCAGGGCTTGGCCACCTCCCCTCCTTCCCTCACTTCCGCAGAAGAGGCCGCCCGTCCCCAGAGCTCTTCCAGCCTCCCCCGTTCACCTCCCTAGGACGTCCCCTTGCTCAGTGGCCCTGCCTCTTGCCGGACCTGTCTACAGGGTCTCTGTGCTTGGCTGGGTCTCCCAGGAAATAGCTCAACCGGGGCAGCCTCCAAAGGAAGTCCCCCAGAGAAAATGCCTCTTTGGGGTCCACCACTTAGGGGCTGGAAGGGAGCAGAGACGAAAGTGGGGGTGAGTGGGCACAGTGGTTAGGGGCAGGGCTGAAGGAGGTGGGGCTGGGCGTTGGAGGGGGATGCGTGGGAGGGGCCAGGCTGCCCAGCTGCAGGACACGGGGGGGCGGGGGGCCGGGGCTCAGGGCAGGGGACCCACGGCTGCCCTGGACACCCACCTCCTTGGAACCGGCTGGGCAAGGAGGCACGGCGGGTCCACCGCACAGCTGCAGAGGGAGGCTGAGTCCTGCCGGCCGGGCTTCCTCAAACAAGCCACAGCCTGTCCGCCGTTTCCTCGCATCTGG